GAGCGCCGAGGGACCGCGCAGCCGTAAGTGGCCGGCGGCCCGGCCCTGGTCCTCGGGGGGTAGGGGGGTTTGGGGGCGCCCCGGGGGTGGCGGGAGAGTCGCTGGCCGGGCAGCTCACCAAGGCCTCCGGCGTCCAGACCCCCGAGGGCACGGTCTTCATTAACCGAATAAGGCACTTGGGGGCCGAAGACGGAGGGAAGAGGAGACTTGCTCTGTCTCCTAAAGCAGAGGAGGGCTGGGCCTCCGGATACAGACCAGCCCGGCGCCTTCCCGGGCAGGGTCAGGGGATTCGCAGGGGCCGCGATGCTACCCACCCCCCGCCCCGGGGACACTGGGCCATGGCTGGGGATATCTGTGGTTGTCACGACTGGGGGAGCTCCTGGCATGGAGTGGGTGGAGGCCAGGGACGCCGCTCAGCACCTGCAGTAGGACGGCCCACCACAGAGAGTGACCCAGCCCCAGAGTCCACAGTGCCAGGGAGTGGCCCTGGGTCATGCCTTAGCATTGTGACCCTGGTGATAAGGTGTCCAGGGTCCGTTCTATTTATGCCCACACACACCTACTGAGGAATGAGAAAGCAGCTGACCATTCGGCCAGTCTCCCAACACCAAGCTCACTGTCCTCTCCCCTCTCCTGGGTTTGATTTCATTTTTCTGTGCAAGGAGGTCGTCCTCAGGCCTTCCTTGTGCAGAAAGGAGGAGTTTAGGGGTTGGATGTTGGAAGGGATAATCCCAGTTCAGAAGCCACAGGCTGCAGTGAATGAGGGGGTCGTGACATCAACCACAGGGAAGGAGGGTCCCGTGAACCACTTTAAGGGTGGGAGAGAAGTGGTCTGGAAGAGCTAAGGGGTCGGAGGTCCTGTACCCAGTGCCATGAGCTGCAATTTAAAGTCCCAAGGGCACAGAGGGAAACTTAGCCCTTGTGGAGGCAAAGGGAAGCCTAACAGGTTGTAAAATCCCCAAAGGCACTTGTAAAGAATCCTGTGCCTAGGGCCGGCCCGTGGCTCACTCGGTAGAGTGCGGTGCTGATAACACCAAGGCCATGGGTTCGGATCCTATATAGGGATGGCCGGTTTGCTCACTGGCTGAGCGTGGTGCTGACAACACCAAGCCAAGGGTTGAGATCCCCTTACTGGTCATCTTTAAAAAAAAAAAAAAAAAGAATCCTGTGCCTGAAGTTCCCCTGTAGCAAGGCTTCTAAGGCTCGATTTGCCTTTGGTCCTTGTATGAGCTTCCTGGGGCTGCTGTCACAAAGCACCACAACTGGGGGCTTAAAACAATAGAAGTTTATTGTTTCACAATTCTGGAGGCCAGAAGTCCAGAGTCAACATGGCCGCAGGGTCATGCTCCCTCCGGAGCCTCCCTTCCTCTTCCAGCTTCTGGTGGTGCCTATCAATCCTTGATGTCCCTCGGCTGTGGCTGCATTGCTCCAGTCTATGCCTTTGTCGTCACGTGGCCTTCTTCCCTGTGTGTCTGTCTGTCTCTCTTATAAGGACACCTGCCATGCCACCAGAAGCTGGAAGAGGCAGGAGACCTCCTACCCTGGAGCCTCCTGAGGGAGCGTGGCCCTATGACACCTTGATCTCAGACTTCTGGCCTTTTAAGCCACCAGGTTTGCTTTATTTTGTTACAGCAGCCATGTGGAACTCGTACAGAGAACTTCCTAAGAGCTCTCATGTTTGTAAACCTGGATAAGTTGTTCTTTTCCAGAGCTTCAGTATCTTCATCCATAAAATGGAGCCTTTAAGACTCCTGGCCTTGGCCCTGGTTTCAGTTTACCATCCTCTGTATGTGGGTCACCTCAAGTGAGCTAGAGGCTCTCTAGGTCAAGGATTCTGGCATTCAGGAACCATCCAGGATCTGGTCTTCACGGTGCCTCTTATCCCCACAGCTCTGCCTGCCCAGGAACCTGCTTTGGGCCAAAAGGAGAGAATGGCTGCTGGCTATCTGCCCCCCCAGTCCCAGGTGAGATATCCTCATTCTCCTGATAGGTGTACCGGGGGCTACAAACCCACCAGAAACTTGGTTCTTGCTTTATAGGACATTTGGGAGAATTCTCTGTGAGCACCTGGGTCCAGGTACTCATCCACCTTCTGAGTGTAAGGAAAGATGTGAACAGACCGATCAGGCACACTGGGACCGGCACCCTCCTCCGCAGAGTGGGCAGGGCTGCCCAGGAAAGTGCCCTCCTTACTTGAAGATGGTTTTTTTTTTTTATTTTTATTTTTTTTAAAGATGACCGGCAAGGGGATCTTAACCCTTGACTTGCTGTTGTCAGCACCAGGCTCTCCCAAGTGAGCCACTGGACGGCCCTGAAAATATTTTTAATTAATTGTGATAAAATACACATAACAAAATTGACCATCTTAACCAAGTTTAGTGCACAGCTCAGTGGCATTAAACACATTCACATGGCTGTGCAGCCATCACCACCATCATGTCCAGAACTTTCTCATCTTCCCAAACTGAAGCTCTGTCCCCATTAAACACTCAGTCCCCATCCCCCTTCCCAGCCCCTGGCACCCCCCCATTCTACTTTCTGTCTCTGTGGATCTGACGACTCTAGGGACCCTCTGTGAGTGGAATCACATGCTATCTGTCCTTGTGTGACTGGCTTGTGTCACTGAGCACAATGTGATTGCATTTTTATTTTCAAAAGGATGTTTTTAACTTGTGTGGCTTTTCTTTCTCATGTTTATGTTTTAAAAAAAAAGCTAATAAACTCTATTTTTTTTTTTTTTTAAAGATGACTGGTAAGGGGATCTTAACCCTTGACTTGGTGTTGTCAGCACCACACTCACCCAGTGAGCAAACCGGCCACCCCTATAAGGGATCCGAACCCGTGGCCTTGGTGTTATCAGCACCGCACTCTCCCGAGTGAGCCACGGGCCGGCCCATAAACTCTATTTTGATTATTTTTAAAAAATGCTTCCCTTCCCCCACCCTCACAAAGCTTTCAGACTCTCTCTGGCTCTCACAGGGAGCTCTGAGCTGAGCTTTGTGCCGTAGGGGATGCCAGAGGGCATGGGGTGCTCCCTAGCTCACAGGACTCCTGGTTTCCTCCCCAAGGAGATAGTTTTCTCCTTCATTCCATTTGTTATTGGGAGAGAGAACAATAACCAGGCTCACCCAGTGAGCAAACCGGCCACCCCTATAAGGGATCCGAACCCGTGGCCTTGGTGTTATCAGCACCACACTCTCCCGAGTGAGCCACGGGCCGGCCCATAAACTCTATTTTGATTATTTTTAAAAAATGCTTCCCTTCCCCCACCCTCACAAAGCTTTCAGACTCTCTCTGGCTCTCACAGGGAGCTCTGAGCTGAGCTTTGTGCCGTAGGGGATGCCAGAGGGCATGGGGTGCTCCCTAGCTCACAGGACTCCTGGTTTCCTCCCCAAGGAGATAGTTTTCTCCTTCATTCCATTTGTTATTGGGAGAGAGAACAATAAATCAGCCTGCTTAGGCAGACAGACGAAGACGTAAGTTTAGTGAAGTGTTTCAGATGCCGACATAAAAGTGTACAGGACTGAATGGGGGTCAGAGGTGCGGTGTGGGGCTGTTTCTACTTGTAGGGGCCAGAGAGTGATATAGAAAAATGACAGTCAAGCTCAGCTGTGAATGAACCATGGGCCTGGGGCCTGGTGACAGGAACTGCAAGTTCCTGGGGATCTCCGAGGCCACCTTCAGGTTCAGTCACTTGCTAGGACTCAAGAGCTCAGCAGAGCTGTCATGCTCATGGTTAGGGTTTATTACCGTGGGAAGATGCGGATGGGACTCAGCAAAGGGAAGAGACACATGGGGCTGCGTCCAGGGGAGACCAGGCGGAAGCTTCCGGGTGTCTTGTTCCCTGGAGTTCTGCAGAGAGCATTTACTTCTCCCAGCAGCCACATATGACTGTACGCACGGGGCGTCACCAACCAGGGAAGCTCGCCTGAGCCTTCACATTCAGAATTTTTATTGGGTTGGTCACGTACATGTAGCTGATTGGCCACCCACGTGGCCATCCTCAGTCTCCAGCCCCTCCAGAGGTTGAGCTGCTACTGCATGGCTAAGACCCCCACCCAAAACCACATTGTGGAGCCAGGGCAAAGGGCCAAACATTTCTGTGGCCAAGGTTAATCCTTTACTGTGCAGGAGCCCAGAGAATATTCCAGCAGAACCAGCAGCCTAAGCCGAGTTCAAGGGTGAATGGACATTGGCATGATGGAGCCCAGGGTGGGAGGTTGGGAACGTCAGGGTTTGGGGCTGCAGCCAAGGGTCTCAACTGGGGGCGATCCCGCAGCCCACAGGACACTGAGTGACGTCTGGGGACGTCTGTGGCTGTCACGAGTCCGGGATGCTCCTGGCATGGAGTGGGTGGAGGCCAGGGACGCTGCTCAGCACCTGCAGTGCCCAGGGCAGCCGTGAGGCCACCTTTCTAAGGCGTATCCCACATCAGTAGACGCGTGGAGCAGGTGAGACCAACCTGCAGCCTGGACTCAGCCAGTTAAAACCATTCCCATTAACCACAGCAGTGTATTTTAGAAAGGGAGGTAGCACCTTCCTTGAGTTTCTATATTAACTTTGTTCACGTGGCCCAAGGGACCTGTTCAATTTTTTTTTTTTTTTTTTTTAATTAATGGTCTTTATATTTTAGAGCTGTTTTAGGTTTAGTGAAAAATTGAGTGGAAATTTTATGTTATGTGTGTTTTACACAACTAGCCCCCCACACACGCAGAATTGAGCAGAACATGCCGCGTTGTTGTATACCCTCTCTCTCCACCACGTGTTCCCCGTGTCATTAACATTGTGCCTTAATGTGCTACGTTTGTTACAGTTGACGAATCAATGCTGGTACGTTATTATCACTAAAGCCCATACTTGACATTAGGGCTCACACTTGGTGTCGTGCACTGTGTGGGTTTGGACAAATGCATAATGATCTGTGTCCACCACTACAGTACCCTACAGAGTAGTTTCACTGCCCTAACAATTCTCTGTGCTCAGCCCGTTCAAGTCTCCGTCCGTGCTCATGAATGAATGAATGAGTGAATGAATGAATGTATGAAGTCTTCCAGGGATGAGGTAATGTCTGGGTTTCAGGGCACATGCGAAGGCATCCACCCCAGAGGGCACACGCGGTCCCCTGAAGCAGTTTACAAGGCTGAGGCACCCCACATCGGACATACAGGGGTCAGGCAGTCGGGCTAACAGGGCCCCCATGGTGGCCTCCCCCCTGTGTACCCCCACCCTAGGGTTCTCAGAGCAGACCACGTAATTCACTTCACTCCTTGGCTTTAGAGGCACTGCCCAGGCATGGGTTTCAGACGTTTCTGCGTGTCCATGACACCAGCTCGTCCACCTCACCCGTGTGGGCGACCCTGGGAGGTGTTCTGTGTGGAAGGTGCGGGGACTGGGGACTCCTGCTGCCATCTCAGGGAGATACCTGTGGAAGGGGGAGGCTTCCGGGAGCACCTCTGAGAAACAAGGGTCTTGACCACTCTCCCCCTCAGGGCTCCCAAGGTGCTGGGTTTCGCTTTATTTTTTCTGGATAATAACATTATGTGTCCTGTTTTACATGTTTTGGACATTCCCTATTGTTTTCGAGACCCCGTAGTCGAAGGGTTGTGTATGCGAGAAGGACAAAAGCAATTTTACAGGAAAACAATTTTATACAACCGAGCCAGAAAGACAGGCCACGTTAAGGACTGAGGACGAAGTGCTGAATTTTCAAGCATTGTCAGAGCGGCCTTCCTAACTTCCTGCCCCTTTCATCCGGCACCTCTATGCAGAGAGCAGCCTTGCGAAGACCAGCCCTGTGGGGACAGCTGCGTTTGGCAGTCACACTGCCCTCCCGAGATGTGTATCAGGGGAAAGGGGAGGGGAGTCCAGCAGGTGAGCAGCAGGTACTCACCACGAGTGGGTGGCAGCGGTCACCCTCCCCCGACGGGCAGCCGTGGGCAGCCACCGCAGGTGCAGGGATGCAGCGAGTCTCTGCAGGGTACAGAGCCCACCCGCAGCCCCGTGTGGGACGGTCCCAGCGGAGAATGCAGGGAGGAGGAAGGGCTTTACCCTCCAGGTTCTGTGCCTGGGGCCTATGGATTGAAGTGATCGAAGAACAGCAGGAGAAGAGCACACGACCTCATTGAGCATTTTCACGCGCACATGAGAACCATCATGAGAGAAATGGAGATAGGCCGGGCCGGCGGCGTGTATTCTTCTTTTACAAAGAACGATAAATTTTGAATGACCTGACGAAGGAACAGGGCTTAGGTGTCTGGAGGGGTAACTCGTGGAGAAGTGCCCGGGAAATAATATATGGGGGGATCTAACGGGGCATGAGGGGCATTGGCGTAGGTTTGCACAGATCTGTATTGGTGTAGACTCCGTCTCTGTGACAAGAACGTTCTTCTCTTCCTGGAACAGGAAGTGTAAATTTTCTGACCTGCTTTTTGGTAGAAAAGGGGAGGTGGGAGAGCCCTCCCTGCACTTCCGTCTCTAGTGGATGTAAGATCTGGAGTCATTCTGCCAAAGCAGCACATCTTGGGGTGGAAAGTTCTGATCCCCTTCAGGAAGAAGCTCTCTGTCATGGACATATATGCAGCCCAGATGGTCCAGCCAGTGTCTGCGATGTGTCCATACTTTAGAGCTCCCCCAGAGAGGTGTCCTAGACCTGTCCACATCCTGTTTGTCACACCTGTACCTGATCTCAGTTCAAGACAGCACATGCTAGGCGCGAATGACCGCAGGCAGTACAGAGGCCCTTCATATCTGTGGGTTCTGCACCCATGGATTCAACCAACCACAGATTGAAAATATTTTTTAAAAAGCATCTGTACTGGGCCGGCCCGGTGGTGCACTCGGTAGAGTGCGTTGCTTGGGAGTGTGGCAGCGCTCCCGCCAAGGGTTCGGATCCCATATAGAGACCGGTCCGCTCACTGGTTGAGCGCGGTTCGGGCGAGGGTTGCAAGGCGAGGGTTGTGATCCCGTTACCGGTCACGAAAAAAGACAAAAAGGGGGAAAAAAAAAAAAAAAGCATCTGTACTGGGCAGTTCCCATGGCTCACTCGGGAGAGTGCGGCGCTGGTAGCGCCAATGCTGAGGGTTCGGATCCTACATAGGATGGCCGGTGCACTCACTGGCTGAGCATGGTGCTGACAACACCAAGCCAAGGGTTGCGATCCCCTTACCGGTTAAAAAATAATAATAATAAAATAAAATAAAAAGCATCTGTACTGAGTATGGACAGACTCTTTTCCTTGTCATTATTCCGTAAACAATACAGTATAGCCACGATTTACATAGTATTTCCATTGTGTTAGATATTATATGTAACCTAGAGATGACTTAAAGCATATCATATGCAAATGCTATGCCATTGTATATCAGCAACTTGGGCATCCGTGGACTTTGGTATCCACAGGAAGTCCTAGGTCCAGCCCCCCAGAGATACCAAGGGATGACTGTATCAGGTTTCAGCTTAGAGTCTGGTCCAGGCCATGAGGATCTGTGAATTCAGGATTCCCAAAAAAATTGAAGCCAAAAAAAACAAAAACAAAACATCCCAGCGACTTTGCTTCTGCTGCAAAGCCAGAGAGCCGTGCCCCAAGTCCAGGTGATAAGCAAAGCTTCCCTGACCTCTTCTTTTCCAACTCAGCGTCCATAATGATCCACTCCAAACCGGCACATGACACCAGCTGCTTGCTGGCACGGGGATCTGAACCCTGCGCCTTGGCGTTATCAGCACCCAGCTTTAACCAACTGGACTAACTGACCAGCCCTAATATCTACTTTTTAAAACTTCCAAAAGCATATCTCCATCCAGACAGTTCTCTGTTCATGTTGTCTCTCTGTTCTCTGAGGCCCCAATAGGTATAAATCATAGTAAAAATCATGAGTTACAGAGACTCATTTTGTTTTTATTTTTTATTTTTTTTATTTTTTATTTTTTTTAAAAAGATGACCAGTAAGGGGATCTTAACCCTTGACTTGGTGTTGTCA